GTAATAATAAATAAAGAAGGAATTTTTTTATCGTTCTCTCTCTTTCCAGTCACGAAGCTGCAATGTGCCAAACAGTGCAGCAGAAGGTGTCGAGGTCCGAAGCCCATGGACTGCTGTAATGAACATTGTGCAGCCGGCTGCACCGGACCTCGAGCCACCGACTGTCTGGTCAGTGATTCAGCTGCATTGCTCTTAACATGTGTTAGTCGTTAGAGTTTGAATGATGATGAAGAATACGTAAAAGGAGAGAAAATGTTCTCTACTGAAATGTGACACACAGTAACGACAGCGCCTCCTGTCGCCCCTCCAGGCCTGCAGGGACTTTAATGATGACGGGACGTGTAAAAACACGTGTCCTCCTCCAACACTCTACAACATCAAAACCCACCAGGTGGTCAACAACCCAAATGCCAAGTTCACCTTTGGGGCGATCTGTGTCACGTCCTGCCCACGTACGAACTTTAACCTACATCTTACTAACATCAGTTCCACCTGCTGGTGGCTGCAGACATTACAACTCATCAGATAGAACTGATTCTGATTTTAAGTCTGTTGGTGGGTCTTGTATAAAGTGCTGTATAAAGTCTTTAAGGACTCCAAGCAAAGCTGAATTTCCCAGAAGACCCAAAGCCTCAGACTTACTTGTTTTGATTGATCAGGCCTGAATATTATAATCTGGTCTCATGAGTTCTGTCTTTTAGACAAATCCTGAATTGTTCTGGTTTAGATTTGTTTTTCGTAAAGTTGCATTTTATTTGAAGACATTAAACCCTGAGCAGGTTCATGTCATTCATGATCTGAGGATCAACAACCAGTTGATCCCTCAGTGGATAAAATAAAAAGTAATGCTTTTAGGGTTAGGGTTAGTCAGTAAGCAATTATCACTTATCAATCAATGAATGTGCTGTCATTCTTATTGACTGATCAGAGAATGATTTCAGCTGTAGTGGGTTTATGTCAGGAGATGTTCTGTGGGTCAGTTAGGAGGTAAATGTCTCGGAGGGTGAAGTGAATGGTTTTTTTGTGAGTGCAGATAACTACGTGGTGACAGAGGGATCCTGTGTTCGAACCTGCAGCGCTGGAATGTTCGAGGTTGAGGAGGACGGAGTCCAACGTTGCAAAACGTGTGGCGGGCCCTGTCCCAAAGGTAGAGAGACCTAAAGAGGGAAAGAGAGAGAGAGACTTGAATATTTAAATAAATATATGATAGAATTATGTTGAATAAAACCTTGTTTCCTCCTTCAGTTTGTGACGGAGTGGGGTTCGGCTCTCTGATGAACACCATGGCTGTGAACGCCTCCAACATCGAATCCTTCAGGAACTGCACCAAAATCAATGGAGACGTCTCGCTCATCGAAACTTCATTCACCGGGTCCAATTCAGGATTTTACTTATTATTATGGATAAATAATCACATTGAACAAATTCAGCAGCAATTTGGCTTCAGCATCGTGTCTGAAACACACGTTCATATTCAAACACCGGCTTCGATGTCAGTATTTGAACCTTGTTCTAATTGGCTCTTCCAGAGATGCGCATTATAAGATCCCGCCCATGGACCCTGTGAAGCTGGAATATTTTAGGACAGTCAAGGAAATCACCGGTAGGTCAAAGGTCACTTTTTGTCACCAGCATTGCTGTGGTAAACTTTACAAGTCATATGAGACTCACAGCACATAGCAACTAACAACCTGTCTACCCAATCCTGAAGAGTAAATGATGGAATCATCTGCAAACATCAACATAGTGGCAGAATTCAGAACTAAAGGTAAATCATTTGTAAAAATGGAAAACATAGTGGTTCTAATCAACCCACTGCTCTTATGTGTCCTCCAGGTTATCTGCTGATCCAGTCATGGCCGGAGAACCTGACCTCTCTGTCTGTGTTCGAGAACCTGGAGATCATCAGAGGGAGATCCAAGCACTCGTGAGTCTCAGAGCTTGCATCACTGTTTGTTATTACAGAAAATAGATTTAGACCAACAGTCTTGATATTTAGATGTTCAATGTTTGGTTTTCTTTATATCTTAACATGCACTTGCAAAAAAGATCAACTGTATTCCTTCAGTCACGGCCATTTTATAGACCTTTTTAAAATTAGTTGTTTAACTGATCATCAGAGAGAAACAAAGAACGGGTCATACCTGTCTCGTTTCACACTTCGTGATGGAATTCCTCAAGGTTCAGTCCTGGGTCCTTTATTGTTCTTAATATATTTATATATATTTACTGCCCTGAGATCAGATCATCAGGAAACATCATGTATGACACACGTGTCATATGTGTTCATGTGTTACTAATCAGAGAAGCCAACCTAAAGTGTTGGGCTTCACACTGAAATCTTTTCTCTCTAGTCAACCCAGTTTGTCGGTGGTGACAGCCAAGCACCTCCGCTGGCTGGGCCTGCGCTCCTTGAAGGAGGTGAGCGCTGGGAGGGTGTTGGTGAGGGGCAACCTCCAGCTCTGCTACACTCGACGTGAACAGTGGGCCCGCCTCTTCAAATCCATTGACCAGACCGTCAACATGCGTGACAATGCTGACCTCAGAGACTGTGGTGAGTTTCTGGATGTGTGTCGCCTCGGTGTTGAGTGAAAGAGGCGGATGTGAAAATATTTTTCGCTGTCTCTCACAGAGCAACAGAATCGAACCTGTGATGAGGAGTGTGCAGATGGGGGCTGCTGGGGTCCAGGTCCCACCATGTGTGTCTCCTGTCGACATTTTGACCGAAAGCGGCGCTGTGTGTCCTTCTGCAACCTGCTGCAGGGGTGAGCGAGCAGAGCCAGGCTCAACAGCACATCAACAGCAGTCTGTGAACCGCAGCACATCCTGACCATGTGACTTATTATACTGAGGCATTCTGCCAGTAGGGGTCTCCTTCTCAGAACAGTGAAGGATGATGGGAGCTGTAGTCTTCTTTATGAG